AGGTAGGAAGCTGGCTGACCCTAGAGAGGTGTCCCGCTACCGAGCACTGATCACCCATCCAGTAAACTAGCCAGACACAGGGGCACTTCACCTGACGGAGCGAGTGGGTTGGGGGCGGGGGGTCCATTAAGGTCGAATTCAACCAGAAACCCAGATCAAGGAATCAGCACGAGTGAGCAGTTGAGCACTGAGCACTTGTGAATGCTCAAGTCACGCTCCAACCCCAGACTTAAGTGCACACTCGCACTACTAAAATAAGTGTTTCTTATGCACTCTCTCACACACTTATAGGGTGTGATACAGATATCTCAGAAACTCCTTAAGTATTCAACCAAGAACACCTACACACAGACCCTCTCTCTCTCTCCCTCCCACTCCATCTCCCTCACTCCCTTCCCTCCCACATATCCCCCCCCCATGATACACATCATCACCAGCCCATTAAACTCATCAAGTTTAAAGTGTGTGTGTAATTACTGGCGGGGTGATGAGTAGTCATCACTCACCATCAGCACCGGATTTATTGTGAGTGTTCCGACATTATAGCACCAAGCACCTCTACACTACACATGTGTGTCACGCCACACACACATTATATATATATAAATACATATATATATATATATATATATATATATATATATATATATATATATATATATATATATATATATATATATATATATATATATATAATGTCGTACCTAGTAGCCAGAATGCACTTCTCGGCCTACTATTCAAGGCTCGATTTGCCTAATAAGCCAAGTTTTCCTGAATTAATATATTTTCTCTAATTTTTTCTTATGAAATGATAAAGCTATCCATTTCATTATGTATGAGGTCAATTTTTTTTTATTGGAGTTAAAATTAACGTAGATATATGAACGAACCTAACCAACCCTACCTAACCTAACCTAACCTATCTTTATAGGTTAGGTTAGGTTAGGTAGCCGAAAAAGTTAGGTTAGGTTAGGTAGGTTAGGTAGTCGAAAAACAATTCATGAAAACTTGGCTTATTAGGCAAATTGGGCCTTGCATAGTAGGCTGAAAAGTGCGTTCTGGCTACTTGGTACGACATATATATATATATATATATATATATATATATATATATATATATATATATATATATATATATATATGCGTATTCTTCAGAGCAACAGAATATTTTTATCTTGATCTGAAAAATGTGTGTGCTGGTGTGTGTGCATGTATGTGCGCGCGCGTGCACACACACACACAACTAGGTGAGTACACACACACCACACACAGTTGAGAACCATCGTCAAATCCCACAAATTCTCTTATTTTGCGGTATTCGGACACGATAAAAAGAGAGCAAAGTATTATCCATTTTCCCCCTTGACCTTATTTATTCTCTCTGGCCACTTGTTTCCTCTAGCACTTAAGCGGTCAAGACGCACTCTTAAGTAATTCCCGTAACGCACTTAACCCCCCCCCCCCTTTCCCTTCGTTATTGTATTCAATCGAGCAAAGATTTGCTTGAAGTTATCAAGAAGAAGGTGTTTGTACGGCGCGGTTCCCAGCCAGGGAGGCGGAGACGGGAGAGCAGCACACCCGTGCCTCACGGCGGTCCAGAGATGACTGAACCTGTGTGGCCACTTGTGCGTCTCCTGACCTCTGGCAACCCCCCCAACCCCCAGTCTCCTCCCCTGGTCACCACAACTCCTCCCCTCCCCATGGGTATTGTTCTTCCTCACCCCCTCCTATCTCCCCCTTCCTTACCACACTCTCCTCTAACCCCTCCTCCCCAACACAACCAACCCTCCCCCCCCCTCCTCCCCCAAGACAACCAACTCTCCCCCCCTCCTCCCCCAACACAACCCTCCCCCCTCCTCCCCCAACACAAACAATCCTCCCCCACCTCCCCCAACACAACCCTCCCCCCTCCTCCCCCAACACAAACAATCCTCCCCCCTCCTCCCCCAACATCACCATGCATTAAAAACTTCTCGCAGCTAACGTAACTTTTATTTCAATTGTTTCTCATTCAGACGGTCGAGTTATCGTACCGGTGGGAGAGTATCGTTGGTGGTGACAGTACCGTTGGTGGTGACAGCACCGTTGGTGGTGACAGTACCGTTGGGGTGACAGTACCGTTGGTGGTGACAGTACCGTTGGTGGTGACAGTATCGTTGGTGGTGACAGTTCCGTTGGTGGTGACAGTACCGTTGGTGGTGACAGTACCGTTGGTGGTGACAGTACCGTTGGTGGTGACAGTACCGTTGGTGGTGACAGTATCGTTGGTGGTGACAGTACCGTTGGTGGTGACAGTACCGTTGGTGGTGACAGTACCGTTGGTGGTGACAGTATTGTTGGTGGTGACGGTACCGTTGGTGGTGACGGTACCGTTGGTGGTGACAGTACCGTTGGTGGTGACAGTACCGTTGGTGGTGACAGTACCGTTGGTGGTGACAGTATTGTTGGTGGTGACAGTACCGTTGGTGGTGACAGTACCGTTGGTGGTGACAGTATTGTTGGTGGTGACAGTACCGTTGGTGGTGACAGTACCGTTGGTGGTGACAGTACCGTTGGTGGTGACAGTACCGTTGGGGGTGACAGTACCGTTGGGGGTGACAGTACCGTTGGTGGTGACAGTACCGTTGGGGGTGACAGTACCGTTGGGGGTGACAGTACCGTTGGGGGTGACAGTACCGTTGGGGGTGACAGTGCCGTTGGTGGTGACAGTGCCGTTGGTGGTGACAGTATTGTTGGTGGTGACAGTACCGTTGGTGGTGACAGTACCGTTGGTGGTGACAGTACCGTTGGGGGTGACAGTACCGTTGGTGGTGACAGTACCGTTGGGGGTGACAGTACCGTTGGGGGTGACAGTACCGTTGGTGGTGACAGTATCGTTGGTGGTGACAGTACCGTTGGTGGTGACAGTACCGTTGGTGGTGACAGTACCGTTGGGGGTGACAGTACCGTTGGTGGTGACAGTATTGTTGGTGGTGACAGTATCGTTGGGGTGACTCTCTAACACAGACACACATCCCCAGGATGCAGCCCATAGCAGCTGTCTAACTCCCAGGTACCTGTACCAGGTGCACAGCGGCATCAGGTGAAATAAACGCTGCCCCATTTGTATCTACCTCGACCGGGAATCGAACACAAGGACCCTTAGAACTACACACACACACACACACACGCACGCTAGAATATGCAGCTGTTGTGTGGTGCCCATATCTTAAGAAGCACATCAACAAACTGGAAAAGGTGCAAAGACATGCTACTAAGTGGCTCCCAGAACTGCAGGGCAAGAGCTACGAGGAGAGGTAAGAGGAATTAAATATGCCAAAACTAGAAGACAAAAGAAAAAGAGGGGATATGATCACTACATACAAAATAGTAACAGGAACTGATAGGGAAGATTTCCTGACACCTGAAACTTTAAGAACAAGAGGTCATAGATTTAAACTAGCTAAACACAGATGCCGAAGAAATATAAGAAAATTCACTTTCGCAAACAGAGTGGTAGACGGTTGGAACAAGTTAAGTGAGAAGGTGGTGGAGGCCAAGACCGTCAGTAGTTTCAAAGCGTTATATGACAAAGAGTGCTGGGAAGACGGGACACCTTGAGCGTAGCTCTCATCCTGTAACTACACTTAGGTAATTACACACACACACACACACACACACACACACACACACACACACACACACACACACACACACACACACACACATAACATAAGAATATAAGAACGGCCTTTAGAAACTTGTGTAAGGAATCATTCAGAACTTTGTATACCACATATGTCAGACCAATCCTGGAGTATGCAGCCCCAGCATGGAGTCCATATCTAGTCAAGTGTAAGACTAAACTGGAAAAGGTTCAAAGGTTTGCCACCAGACTAGTACCCGAGCTGAGAGGTATGAGCTACGAGGAGAGACTACGAGAATTAAACCTCACTTCGCTGGAAGACAGAAGAGTTAGGAGGACATGATCACATTCAAGATTCTCAAGGGAATTGATATGGTAGATAAGGACAGGCTATTTAACACAAGGGGCACACTAGGGGACACAGGTGGAAACTGAGTGCCCAAATGAGCCACAGAGATAAAGAACTTTGTCAGTGTCAGAGTAGTTGACAAATGGAATGCATTAGGAAGTGATGTAGTGGAGGCTGACTCCATACACAGTTTCAAGTGTAGATATGATAGAGCCCAATGACAAAGAGACAATTAATGTACAGGAACCTGTACATTAGTTGATTGATAGTTGAGAGGCGGGATCAAAGAGCCAGAGCTCAACCCCCGCAAGCACAATTAGGTGAGTACCCACACATCTCCCAGAGGGTATAGACTCATTCCTCTCAATGTTTGCTGACGACGCCAAAATTATGAGAAGGATTAAGACAGAGGAGGACAGATTGAGGCTTCAAGAAGACCTGGACAAGCTGCTGGAATGGTTGAATAAATGGTTGTTAGAGTTTAACCCAAATGTAATGTAATACATTACATTTGGTGTAGAAGTGTAGTACATTTGGAAGATAGGTGTAGGGAGCAGAAGACCAGATACAAGATATCATTTGGGAGATGAAATACTTCAAGAGTCAGAGAGAGAGAGAGACCTGGGGGGTTGATATCACGCCAGACCTGTCCCCTGAAGCTCATTTCAAGAGGATAACATCAGCAGCATATGCCAGGTTGGCCAACATAAAAACGGTCTTTAGAAACTTGTGTAAGGAATCTTTCAGAACATTGTATACCACATATGTCAGACCAATCGTGAAGTATGCGGCTCCAGCATGGAGTCCATATCTAGTCAAGCATAGGACTAAACAGGAAAATGTTTAAAGGTTTGCCACCAGACTAGTACTCGAGCTGAGAGGTATGAGCTACGAGGAGAGACTACGGGAATTAAACCTCACGTCACTGGGAGACAGAAGAGTTAGAGGGGACATGATCACCACATACAAGATTCTCAGAGGAATTGACAGGGTAGATAAAGACTGACTATTTACCACAAGGAGCACACGCACTAGGGGACACAGGTGGAAACAGAGTGCCCAAATGAGCCACAGAAGTATTAGTAAGAACTCTTCCAGTGTCAGAGTAGTAGGAGCCGGTCGGCCGAGCGGACAGCACACTGGCTTGTGATCCTGTGGTCCCGGGTTCAATCCCGGGCGCCGGCGAGAAACAATGGGCAGAGTTTCTTTCACCCTATGCCCCTGTTACCTAGCAGTAAAATAGGTACCTGGGTGTTAGTCAGCAGTCACGGGCTGCTTCCTCGGGGTGGAGGCCTGGTCGAGGACCGGGCCGCGGGGACACTAAAGCCCCGAAATCATCTCAAGACAACCTCAAGATAGACAAATGGAATGCATTAGGAAGTGATGTGGTGGAGGCTGACTCCATACACAGTTTCAAGTGTAGATATGATAAAGCCTAATAGGCTCAGGAATCTGTACACCAGTTGATTGACAGCCGAGAGGCGGGACCAAAGATCCAGAGCTCAACCCCCGCAAGCACAATTAGGCGAGTACACACTGATCAAGCAGGCTGTAATTCATACATCAGACTTGGAGCAGCCTGGTTGACTAGACCACTAAACAAGGAGGTCGGATCAGAGACCGGGCCCCGCAGAGGCGTTGATCCTCGGCATGCGGGCCAGATAACCACAAGATAACATAGATAACTCCCCCCCTTAGTAACTACCCCCATACCTCCCTTACTACCAACCCCCCTACAACCGTATTTGCTACCAATACAACTGCTTATTTTGACTACAACTACTGTAGTAAATACTGTATTGAGATGATAGATTAGGCTAAACACCGGAGACCCCCTTTAAAACCCCTTATCCCCCTTAAAACCCCTTATCCACCCCCCACATCAACTACCCCCCCCCTAACAAGGGATCATTTAATCTCCCCCATGGCATTACTCCCCCCCCCCCCTTCCTCCATAAACCTATTTACGACTGGCTGAGCACCAATCAGCGTCCAGCTTGGTGTGGCCTCTCCTCACGTCCAGCGGACCACCAATGGCACGGCGTCTTTCATTCACGTCATGGCGGGAACCAATGGGAAGACGTCTTGTGTACAGAGGAACCAATAAAATTGCTTCTCTATATCGTAAGAGCCAATTCACTCTCTTCCCCCATATAATAGAGGTCAATACAATCTCTTCCCCCATATAACAGAGGTCAATACAATCTCTTCTCCCATATTATAGAAGTCAATACAATCTCTTCTCCCATATAATAGAGGTCAATACAATCTCTTCCCCCATATAATAGAGGTCAACACAATCTCCCATATAACAGAGGTCAATACACAGAGTCGTAACCTATCTTACTACACACCCATCAATACAGTGGTCGCCGGTTAAGAGACCAACAGGTATATATATACGGACTAGTGTTTACACGTCATCTTAATAGTTGGCAGAGTGACCAATGACGCGGCATCTTCTCTATAATGGGCGCCATTAGCAACCAATGGCATATAACGATGACCGTTAGCCGGGCGCTTTTCAAAATTGAGGCCGCCAATAGCAACGCGTCTCGTATATGACGGCGACCAACTGGGATTTATCTATAAATGGCGGGTAATTAGAGCGAGAGGCAGGGATTGAGGGGGTAGAATGGATTGAGGGGGGATTGAGGGGTGGACAGGGGGATTGAGGGGTGGACAGGGGGATTGAGGGGTGGACAGGGGGATTAAGGGGTGGACAGGGGGATTGAGGGGTGGACAGGGGGATTGAGGGGTGGACAGGGGGATTGAGGGGTGGACAGGGGGATTGAGGGGTGGACAGGGGGATTGAGGGGTGGACAGGGGGATTGAGGGGTGGACAGGGGGATTGAGGGGTGGACAGGGGGATTGAGGGGTGGACAGGGGGATTGAAGGGGGACAGTTGGATTGAAGGGGGACAGTTGGATTGAGGGGGGACAGGGGGATTAAGGGGTGGACAGGGGGATTGAGGGGTGGACAGGGGGATTAAGGGGTGGACAGGGGGATTGAAGGGGGACAGTTGGATTGAGGGGGGACAGGGGGATTGAGGGATGGACAGGGGGATTGAAGGGGGACAGTTGGATTGAGGGGGGACAGGGGGATTGAGGGATGGACAGGGGGATTGAAGGGGGACAGTTGGATTGAAGGGGGACAGTTGGATTGAGGGGGGACAGGGGGATTGAGGGGAAACAGGGGGATTGAGGGGGTAGAGTGGATTGAGGTGTGGACAGGGGGAGTGAGGGAAAGAAGAAGGGGGAAAGAGATAGAGAAACGAAGAGGAGGAGGGAGAAAGGAGGAAAAAGGAAGATTTGGGAGAAAGGGAATTGGACAATTCCCAGTCTCTAGCATTTAGTCCAGGTCACATGCAGCGAGGATATGATCGGACATAAGAACCCAGGGATCGGAAGATGGGGCCATTGGATAAATTGGGGCCATTGGACAAATTGGGGCCATTGGACAAATTGGGGCCATTGGACAAATTGGGGCCATTGGACAAATTGGGGCCATTGGACAAATTGGTCATGCCGAAGGGAGAACACACGAGGCTGTAAGAACTTTATCAATGTTTTGACTGTCCTTGGGACGGGTATATATCCACATATTTATATGTGTAATGGAGGAGGAATACAATGATTACAGGTTGTAGTGTGTACAGGGTGTTGTAGTGTGTACAGGGTGTTGTAGTGTGTACAGGTTGTAGTGTGTACAGGGTGTTGTAGTGTGTACAGGGTGTTGTAGTGTGTACAGGCTGCTGTAGTGTGTACAGGGTGTTGTAGTGTGTACAGGTTGTTGTAGTGTGTACAGGTTGTTGTAGTGTGTACAGGTTGTAGTGTGTACAGGGTGTTGTAGTGTGTACAGGTTGTTGTAGTGTGTACAGGTTGTTGTAGTGTGTACAGGTTGTTGTAGTGTGTACAGGTTGTTGTAGTGTGTACAGGTTGTTGTAGTGTGTACAGGTTGTAGTGTGTACAGGGTGTTGTAGTGTGTACAGGCTGCTGTAGTGTGTACAGGCTACTGTAGTGTGTACAGGCTGCTGTAGTGTGTACAGGCTACTGTAGTGTGTACAGGCTGCTGTAGTGTGTACAGGCTGCTGTAGTGTGTACAGGCTGCTGTAATGTGTACAGGCTGCTACAGTGAGTACAATTGCTATATCCCCTCTACCTCCCTTCTTTATTGTTCCTTCAAGACGCCTCTTCTCTTCCCCTAAGGACCCCCCCCCCATCGAGACCCCTCCCCCCCCCACAATGACTCCCTCTTCTCCCCCAAAGACCCACTTTTCTTTCACCTGCAAGACCCCCCCCTTTTCTCTCTCCCCCCCCAATCTTGCGACAACTCAGGGAGGGGTGAGGGGGGAGAGGGGGGGGGGGGTAACACGACACAGAGGGACAAGTTAGCTCCTGACCCCCTCCCCCCCACGCACGCAAACTCTGACTCACGGACGCACGCCACCTCCCTGCAACAATAGTCTTGTTGTTCATCAACCCCGACAACAGTGCAATGGCAGAGCAGCACTGGGATGTTGTCAACAACGGCAGCATCGTAAACAACAGCAAATACAGCAGTAACATTAACTACAGTGGCAACTACAACACCAGCAGCTATAGCAGCAACCAGAACTACAGCAATTACAACAGCAGCAACTACAACAAGTACAGCAAAACAAAGTACAGCAACAACGATTACAGCAACACTAACTTCTCAAGGACATTAACATTAGGGATTCTTCTATCACACATCATCAAAATCTTTGATAGAGTTATACCTGCTTGATAGTGCTAAGAAGTAAGATCACTAAACACATGGAATCACAGCATCTCCATAACCCCGGACAACATGGTTTCAGAACAGGGCGCTCTTGCCTGTCGCAGTTGCTGGACCACTATGATATGGCATTAGATGCCATTGAAGACAAACAAAACGCTCATGTAATTTTCACAGATTTCGCAAGGATATCTTGATGATATCTTCATAATGCACCAAGAGTCTACTTATCACGTGCCTCTGTATGACTAACCATCCTGCGTGATGGGGATTTTTTAGCACAACGTAGGTAGCTTATTGACACTGTACTCCCCCTTTATATAGTCTAGTGCAGCTGCACACATGCACATGTACCTAAATGTGTTTATAACATAAAAAGTACACTTTTTCTCCTTTCGTTTGCGCCCTAACCAATACTTCCTTATTCTTTTTTTTTTCACCCACTAGGTACGTCCTAACTTTCTCTCCGTCTAACCCACTCTCTTAAGTCAGTGTGTGACCCAATGACACTCATCTGTTGTTGATGAGTCTCGGTTCATCTACTCCGTTTCTTAAGTGCTACCGTCATTAATGAGTCCATTTCTTCGAGTTGTGGGGGAAGTGGGGGGGTGGAGATGGAATCTGTATAGACCGGTATAGTTACCCGGCCGGGTAGCATGGCGGGTACAGGTCAACCTGTCAAGACAACCGGTTCACAAGCCTGGTTGTTGTTCCATATATAAGCACGAGGTTCATGAAGGATTGTGAGAGTTAATTGTGTTGTAGGATGGTACACTTAACAGGTCTATGGGGGAATGGGTCTATAGTGGGGGGGGATTATGGGGGAATTCAGACGAGACCTTTGCCCCTGGTCGGATAAGTTGCAGAGTTGAAGATACAGGTTAATACAGCTTCTTGAATTGCGTATATTAACAATCAACCCCATTATCACCTAGAGTACTTTAAAGTTGGGTATAATTGATTTTGATTAATATATTCCTTCAACATTTTATTTACAACTTCACTTCAATTCTTCTTTGTCATCTAATTTGGGCACATACGATCTTGGGTTCACTTTGGGCTATACGACATTTAGGGAATTTCAAAGTGTTGAAAAGTCTCTAAAGTAATTATCAACAAGCTGGAAGTAATAACTTATAACTATTTTCTTCAGTAATTATCAAGAGTAAGGTGTTTTGAAGTGCTATTGTGACCTTCCCATTAGAGTCATGGTAATTATGAATTAAGGTAATTACCCAATTAGGAACACATGAGAGGATGGTGGCAGCATTAGAGAGTTATTAGGTGTGGAACCATTAGATCTTGCATATAATTAGGCCCCTAGTCATAACATGGATAGTTCTGGGACTGTATGGCCAATTACCACTCTTGTGGAGACAAGTTGTGTGGGGGGGGGGGGGGGTCCACCGGAAGAGCGGGGCCTTTGGTTTGGGTTCGATGGTGTGTGTGTGTGTGTGTGTGTGTGTGTGTGTGTGTGTGTGTGTGTGTGTGTGTGTGTGTGTGTGTGTGTGTGTGTGTGTGTGTGTTTACTAGTTGTGTTTTGCGGGGGTTGAGCTTTGCTCTTTCGGCCCGCCTCTCAACTGTCAATCAACTGTTTACTAACTACTTTTTTTTTTTTTTTCACACCACACACACACTTCAGGAAGCAGCCCGTGACAGCTGACTAACTCCCAGGTACCTATTTACTGCTAGGTAACAGGGGCACTTAGGGTGAAAGAAACTTTGCCCATTTGTGCCTCGTGCGGGAATCGAACCCGCGCCACAGAATTACGAGTCCTGCGCGCTATCCACCAGGCTACGAGGCACATTGGTGTGTGTGTGTGTGTGTGTGTGTGTGTGTGTGTGTGTGTGTGTGTGTGTGTGTGTGTGTGTGTGTGTGTGTGTGTAGGCCGGTGGTTGAGCGGACAGAACACTGGACGCGTGATCCTGTGGTCCCGGGTTCGATCCCGGGCGCCGGCGAGAAACAATGGGCAAAGTTTCTTTCACCCTGATGCCCCTGTTACCTAGCAGTAAATAGGTACCTGGATGTTAGTCATCTGTCACGGGCCTGGTCGAGGACCGGGCCGCGCGGACACTAAGCCCCGAAATCATCTCAAGATAACCTCATGTACGTTGGTGTTAAGGATAAATATTAAGGATACTTAAAAACGGGTAGAGAGCTTACAAGAACTATTAAACAAGCAAAGGATATCTCATATAAGATCACCGATTTATGCTATCCGCCTGCCACCATCTTCACAATAAACCCGGTACAATCTATCAACACTCGAGTCTCGCGAAGAATCTCTGAATCTCTGAAGAATCTGAGAATCTCCGAGTCAAACGCGAGTCTCTGACTCGCGAAGAATAAGTCAACCATCACACACAAACGCACTCTTGATAATTACTTTTATTAATAATGAGTTAAAAGTTTCGCAGGGTGATCACCACAGCAGAGCAGGAAGCAATGAATTTTTGACTTGCCGATGGAGTAATGATGTCCTGGGCACACAGGCTGCACTTCTGGGTGCTGACACAAGTTGGTGGCGCGGGAGTAATCGTAGCACCGAAAGTACTGTCGGAGCTCGTGGAATCTTCCTTCTTCACTCAGAACTGTGGAATCTTGATGCCGAAGCAGTGGAGACCGTGTACTCACCTATTTGTACTCACCTATTTGTGCTTGCGGGGGTTGAGCTTTGGCTCTTTGGTCCCGCCTCTCAACTGTCAATCGTGTGTGGCAACCTGGTTGGCCGCCGGCTAAGGTGGTGAAGGGTAACTTCACCTGGGGCCAGATTCACGAAAGCACTTACGCAAGCACTTACGAACGTGTACATCTTTCCTCAATCTTTGACGGCTTTGGTTACATTTATTAAACAGTTTACAAGCATGAAAACTTGCCAATCAGCTGTTGTTATTGTTATAAACAGCCTCTTGGTGCTTCAGAGCTCATTAACTGTTTAATAATTGTAAACAAAGCCGCCAAAGATCGAGAAAAGATGTACAGGTTCGTAAGTGTTTGCGTAAGTGCTTTCGTGAATCTGGCCCCAGGTTGGCTGCGGCTAAGGTGGTGAAGGATATCTTCACTAGGTTGGCCGCCGGCTAAGGTGGTGAAGGATATCTTCACTAGGTTGGCCGCCGGCTAAGGTGGTGAAGGATATCTTTACCAGGTTGGCCGCGGCTAAGGTGGTGAAGGATATCTTTACCAGGTTGGCCGCTGGCTAAGGTGGTGAAGGATATCTTCACCAGGTTGGCCGCCGGCTAAGGTGGTGAAGGATATCTTTACCAGGTTGGCTGCGGCTAAGGTGGTGAAGGATATCTTCACCAGGTTGGCTGCGGCTAAGGTGGTGAAGGATATCTTCACCAGGTTGGCCGCCGGCTAAGGTGGTGAAGGATATCTTTACCAGGTTGGCCGCTGGCTAAGGTGGTGAAGGATATCTTCACCAGGTTGGCTGCGGCTAAGGTGGTGAAGGATATCTTCACCAGGTTGGCCGCGGCTAAGGTGGTGAAGGATATCTTTACCAGGTTGGCCGCCGGCTACGGTGGTGAAGGATATCTTTACCAGGTTGGCCGCCGGCTAAGGTGGTGAAGGATATCTTTACCAGGTTGGCTGCGGCTAAGGTGGTGAAGGATATCTTTACCAGGTTGGCCGCCAGCTAAGGTGGTGAAGGATATCTTCATGGTAGGGCGCTTGTCGTCGTCGATATCGGTGCTGCAGCATATAACATCAAATACCCGCATGTTTGGGTTTTTGATGTTAGTAATGATCTCCGTTTGTTTTCGGTCCAC